GTGGACCTCAGTGTCTCCCTGTTACTGCCTGCTGCCCACCATGAGGCTGCTGCTCCGGACAGGCGTGTGCTTGCACATGCATGTGTGCATGGGCCTTGTGTGCATGCTTGTACATGCGTGTGTGCACAGGGCTGGTTTGTGTGCTTGCACATGCACACGGGCGCTCGCGTGCGCGCTTGCGTGTGTGTGCAGATCTGTGTGCGTGTTTGTACGTGCTGCTCAGCCCGGCTGGCCCCGGCAGGGCTGCCCAAGGAGCTGCTCTGCGGGCCCCACGCAAAGCGGCTCCACCACTTCCGATGAGTAACTCATCCGCTCAGCTGCATGGCGCAAAGGAGGCTGAAGGGACAGGGCAGGCTGGCGGCCACGGGGCTCCTGCCCCAGACTCCTGCCCCAAAACAGGCAGCGCGTGTTACTGCCCCTTGACAAGCTGGGGAGTGTCCTATCGGGGGGGACCTTGGGAGGATAGAACTGTGTCCTGGGAGGAAGAGCATACCCAGAGGAGCAGGGATGTCCCAGGGAACGCTGCAAGCAGGAGAGTGCAGAAGATGCTGCATTTGGAAGAAGAAAGTCTTTAAATGTGTCTAAAGCAGGTGGGAGACTCCAGGGCTGCTCCTCCCAGCCCCTTGCCCCATTCCAGCAGGATCCCAGAGCTGCAGGCGGTGGGGCCAGCTCCTGTTCCTGGCAATGGGGTCTGCTGGAAAGGATGGGGCCTGGGAAGCAGCGAGGGAAGGATCAAGGCGCAGGCAGCTCTAAGGGGACGCAGAGCTGCCCCACACAAGGCCAGGCTGGGCGAGCTCGGCAGAGCTGGAGGGGCTGCGCTGCAGGTAGAGACGGAAAAAGCTGCTTTGCAGAGCAGGGGCTCATGGTGCTGGGTGGCAGAGAGCAGCATGGGGCGACCGGGCCAGCTACGGGCGCAACTGCGTGTCCCCATCCCCGTCCCCGCGGCCGGGGCCGAGCAGCAGTGCCCTGTGCCGCCCCCCGGCCCTCCGCTCCGGCGGCTGCGAGGAACAACCGAGGCGCTCCGAGGGGGCGCGGGATGCCGCCACCGTCCCCGCGGGACCGCGCGGGATGCCGCCACCCGGACCCAGGGACCGAGGTGCTGGACTGGCATGACGGCACCGGGACCGAGAGACCGCACGGGATGAGACCTCCAGGAACGTGGCACCGGGATGTAGGAATCGAAGACATTGTGGAGCGCGCGGCATGGAGAAAGCGGCGATCACGGAGAGCGGGTCTGGGGATAACGGACCGGAGGCACCGGAGAAGGGCTGGGGGGCGCCCGGGCCGGGCCCCGCGGCCGC